TAAACAAGAATCAAGCTAGTCCTAACCCAATATAGTCGTAAACATTTAATACCAGCATCTGCATTTCTTACATTGTTAAAATAACACAACAGATTCATGTATGATAAACTCTGTATTACTCATAAACAAGAATCAAGCTAGTCCTAACCCAATATAGTGTAAACATTTAATACCAGCGTCTGCATTTCTTACATTGTTAAAATAACACAACAGATTCATGTATGATAAACTCTGTATTACTCATAAACAAGAATCAAGCTAGTCCTAACCCAATATAGTCGTAAACATTTAATACCAGCATCTGCATTTCTTACATTGTTAAAATAACACAACAGATTCATGTATGATAAACTCATTCATTTTCAGATCAACCAACTTGATTCAGACTGTTAAAAGCATAATATTATCCTTGTTTTTAATTAGTTAACCCCCTAAAAGTGCTCATTATTTATACTTTTGTCAGTCTCAACAATTATAAACAGATCTATAAGTGTCAACGTTGGAAAATATAAATTTCCAGGAAATCACAATAGCAGCAGAGAACAAAACATCTTACATTAATGACATTAAGATTTAATTCTTGCATATAAAACAAGAAACATGACAGGGGAACCAAAAGATGTGTGGACCATAAAAGCTAACGGTCGAGGACTCAGTAAGGAACTATTTGAACTGGAAGTGTCACATTATAAGACATTAGAAATGTCTCTTACCAGAAGCTCCCATTAATCACACAATTAAAGTAACAAAGCATTTTTCACAGACAAACTGTAACACGTTGTTAAAGGGAAGTAAGGTACTTTAAATGAGACCTCTGAAAGCATAGTTGCTTGAGAACAGCTTAACATGACACAAAGGAATAGATTAGGGTAAGCAGATATTGCTGGAAGAATTCATCTGGTCTGTTGAAATAATACTGTAATGTACAGTTGGTGGTTTAACGGCATATTTACCAAATGATTTTTGAAGGCTAGTCAAGCATTGTAGGCTGTGAATATTTACCTATATATCACTCATCACTGTGTCAACACTTGCCAAGCTTTATTTGTCACACTGGATTTCAATTAATTATTCTTACTTCCTACACATATCTTCAAGATTTGATAATTTATTTAAAAAACAAAACAATTTCCAATAAAAAACTGATAATTGTAAAAATACAACACTATCTTCTCTTCTGGCCAATTTTTGTTTTAAATACAATGTCATCTTTCCTCCTGTTAGCCAATTTTTGTTTAAAATACGATGTCATCTTTCCTTCTGTTAGCCAATTTTTGTTTTAGATACAATGTCATCTTTCCTCCTGTTAGCCAATTTTTGTTTTAAATACAATGTCATCTTTCCTTCTGTTAGCCAATTTTTGTTTTAAATGCAATGTCATCTTTCCTTCTGATAGCCAATTTTTGTTTTAAATACAATGTCATCTTTCCTTCTGTTAGCCAATTTTTGTTTTAAATACAATGTCATCTTTCCTTCTGTTAGCCAATTTTTGTTTTAAATACAATGTCATCTTTCTTTCTGTTAGCCAATTTTTGTTTTAAATACAATGTCATCTTTCCTCCTGTTAGCCAATTTTTGTTTTAAATACAATGTCATCTTTCCTTCTGTTAGTCTCAGGTTTAAAATTAGGTCAGCAATTTCACTTCAATCAGTCTATTTTAGAAATACATCCCATCATCTTCAGCCTATGGTTTTATCATTTTCAATTCTGTCAGCCTTATTGTAAAACTAGAATGTTATTATCATATGGTATTTAACAACAATTTCTTTCTAGAGCAGTGAACATAAATGTTATATTATCAGCCATATCAAAATAATTTTTGTTACAAGTTGTACGATTTCTTATTGTACAGGTTTTTAATTTCATAACTTAAATCATCTGTTAACTTGATCTTCACACACACACACACATAGAACAGTACTTTTTGAAATAATTCAGATCAAAGTGTTGATACAACATAGAGAACTCCAATAATAATTTGGAATTTGTATTTTTTACTTATGGCAAAGCTACTAAGGTTATCTACCACTGCCCTTAACTTTGACCAACTGAAAAGATTGAAGACATCCAGTCAGCAGTATCTAACCACCCATGCTAAGGAATTGACTGTCACTCTTATAACACACTCACAGCTTAAAGTGGTGGTGGTGGTGGTGTAGGATATTTTGTGGTATTGCATGGATTCAAACCCAGATCTTCAGCTCTGAAATCCAAAGTTCTACTACAGGACCAACCCATTCCTCTTTGTTAATAATGAAATTTTTTTTTGTTCATGATGGATTTAATCAACATGTTGTCAACCAAGCACAAGTACATGACAGGTTAAGACTAACCAATGCAGCCCAAATACACATACTGTCTGAATTTTCATATTTCACTAAATGCAATAAACTTTAAACACTGATAAGATTTGTTTTTTATCAGCCATTATTAATTTGAAATAATTTTTTCTCATAAAATCAATTAATGAATACAAACTGGAATTTAAAACTTTTATGAGAATTAAGAGCTAATTGCTGGCAGGATGCATAACATACATTGATAAATAATAAGTATGTCCTACTCGAGCTAGTTCTGTATATATTACTGCATGTTCCCAGTCTTTGCTTCTTCAAAAATTTATAAAATCATAGGATGGTACGCCATCCTTAAAAACCTTCACATAGAAATCAAAACTTCTGTTTGAAGAAACCAAGATAGTGAGTTTTTAACAGGCCCCCTCACGAGCCAGTGGGGGGGACATTTTTGTTGAAAAACAAAACCTACCAAATCCAGTTTTTCTTAATTTAAATTGAAGTTTTTTTGACATGTTTATTGGCTAAAAAGAAGGCATTTTCCACACTCGTTTAGCACTGAAGCTGTAAAAAGTGATTTGAAGTGATAAGGTGACTGAAATCTGTCAGCAACTCACGAGCTTAATTCCCAAGTACAAGAAACATGGAAGTCTCCAAATGACACATAGAAGTATTCAGGAACTGTTTAGAACCACCTTAGTAGATATTGTGCAGCAAGCCGAGTACAATATTATGTCTGTAGCTGTTTTCAAAGTGTTCCTGTCTGCTCATCCAATTGCTGACTATCGTGATGCTTCGACCTTCCCTACCAAATCGCAAGTGAAATCGTTCATATCTCAACTGAAAGCTAAAGATAAAAAGGTGACATCAGAAGCATAAAAAGTTTACAACTCCTTAATTAATGATGCTGAAAATGTGGCTTTATTGATATATACTGAATTTACTCCCAGCGGTTATACCTTAGTACTAGCTAGTATGGAGACATGAGGATGCTGTATTTCACTTAAAGATGTAGAGTGATCAATAAGCTAGTTCCATGTACAAACCAAGGTGTTGAGTGATCAATAAGCTAGTTCCATGTACAAACCAAGATACTGAGTGATCAATAAGATTGTTCCGTATATAGACCAAGATGTTGAGTGATCAATAAGCTAGTTCCATGTACAAACCAAGATGTTCAGTGATCAATAAGCTAGTTCGGTGTACAAACCAAGATGTTGAGTGAACAATAAGCTAGTTCCATGTATAAACCAAGATGTTGAGTGATCAATAAGCTAGTTCTATGTATAAACCAAGATGTTGAGTGATCAATAAGATAGTTTCATGTATAAACCAAGATGTTGAGTGATCAATAAGCTAGTTTCACGTATAAACCAAGATACTGAGTGATCAATAAGATAGTTCCGTATATAGACCAAGATGTTGAGTGATTAATAAGCTAGTTTCGTGTATAAATCAAGATGTTGAGTGATCAATAAGCTAGTTTCACGTATAAACCAAGATACTGAGTGATCAATAAGATTGTTCCGTATATAGACCAAGATGTTGAGTGATCAATAAGCTAGTTCCATGTACAAACCAAGATGTTCAGTGATCAATAAGCTAGTTCTATGTAGAAACCAAGATGTTCTTTGTACATGGAACTAGCTTATTGATCACTCAACATCTTGGTTTGTACATGGAACTAGCTTATTGATCACTCCAAGATGTTGAGTGATCAATAAGCTAGTTCCGTGTACAAACCAAGATGTTGAGTGATCAATAAGCTAGTTCATGTACAAACCAAGATGTTGAGTGATCAATAAGCTAGTTCCATGTACAAACCAAGATGTTGAGTGATCAATAAGCTAGTTCCATGTACAAACCAAGATGTTGAGTGATCAATAAGCTAGTTCCATGTACAAACCAAGATGTTGAGTGATCAATAAGCTAGTTCCATGTACAAACCAAGATGTTGAGTGATCAATAAGCTAGTTCCATGTATAAACCAGCCTGGTGTGACACTTGAACTTTCCAAGTGTAAATGAACATCCTTAGTTCCACTTACCATGGTACCACCATTTAGTTTTCTTAGGGTTCTTACTACAGGTTTTGACGTACAAGGAATTGTCAGGTGGCCGTTTCTGTATCAAACAAAATTAGTTATACACATTATGGATGTTGGACAAAGCATTAATATATCCCTCAAACAACATAGGTAAAAGAATTTCTCACACAGAAAAAGAAATAGGTTATTTGTTATTATTATTTAAATATTATGGAAATGAAAACAAAAAACTTCTTTGCTTACTTATTCAAAAAAATCTAACCTACATAAAATCCCATGTCACATCATGCTTGATTTCTCAAAATAGGAGGAGTCATAAAAAACAAAATGCATTTATCCAGACAGAAGAGTTCGATTACTGTCTGTCCATTACGATTTTAGTGACGGGGGTGCAAGGGGCTGTGAAACCTTTTAAGTGTAGTGAGTGTTAGTATAATAAACCTAAAGTAGATGTATTGTGGGATCACCTAGCCTAGAACCAAGTGCATAAAATTTATCATGAAAATAAAAATATATATATATATATACAACTTTATTCTTAAATCATTTCTGAATTAAGCTATTTTCTGTTATATCACCAATGTTTTTAATAAAAAATGAAGACTTCTTTAAATTTTGTCTATACATTTCATTTTATACTTTTAGTAGATAGACTAACAACAATATTAGGTTATACTTTAGGCTATGACATAAAAGCCAATGTTGGAAAGTAGTGTTACCAAAATGCATTTTTGAAGGGCTATACATCCGTAATAATAATATAAAACATTTTATTAATTCCAAGTAAAATATAATAATGAAATATTTTTAACAGATGATATTAAAACTAACTTTTTATAATCAATCAATAATGATATCTCTATTTTACACAAAGTTGATTAAACAAAGACAGAAAATCTAGCAAGTTTAAACATTTTACTGAATACAGTTAAAGAATCAAAACATGTCTAACCTTTTCTTTACAACTAGACAGCATGGAAACAATACTTAAACAGACTGATTGCACAGACAAAGCTGGTGACCAATCTTCAGTGAGGATGGACAAGCAAATATGTCCATTGCTGTAAACATGTGGATGGACAGGAATGTTTGGGCCTATGAAGGTCACCTGCGAACAAATTCTATGAAATGAAACTTAGAAAGACTTTTAAATCATCCACAATATTAAAATAATTATAGCAATTATGTGTAACAAAATAAATGTCTTGGAAACTAGAAAGACACTTTAAATGTAAGTTCTCAAGCCTCTCTAAACACAAGTTCTCACTTTCAAAATTATCATAACAATATCTGCATTTGAAAAATCAAACTTGAACACAAATTCACCCAAATGATACCTGACTAGCCAATAAGAAATTTTATTATTTTATTATTACCAGACACTGGTATTTGTTGGATAAATTAATAGGAATAAAACAGATTAGAATCTTGTTAGGAGAATGGTATTTAAGATTTTTTAATAGGAATAAAACAGATTAGAATGTTGTCAGGAGAATGGTATTTAAGATTTTTTTAATAGGAATAAAACAGATTAGAATGTTGTTAGGAGAATGGTATTTAAGATTTTTTAATAGGAATAAAACAGATTAGAATGTTGTTAGGAGAATGGTATTTAAGATTTTTTAATAGGAATAAAACAGATTAGAATGTTGTTAGGAGAATGGTATTTAAGATTTTTTAATAGGAATAAAACAAGATTAGAATGTTGTTAGGAGAATGGTATTTAAGATTTTTTTAATAGGAATAAAACAGATTAGAATGTTGTCAGGAGAATGGTATTTAAGATTTTACCTTTAATATTTATTTGAACAGTAATTTTCATTTATAGGCTTCAATGAGTTATCTCCAGTTTACTTAATTCTATCATATTTAGATAAATTCATCCTGGTTCGAGGGTAAATTGCAACATTAAATTAAAAATCTTACAAAAAGTTCTTTCACAAATATCACAATTTAAATGTATTCTATAAAAACATTTATACTTAATTTCATACATAAAAATATTTTTAAAAGTGCAGATTTTGATTTAGAGTTGAATTCAGTGAGCTCCAAACAAACACGTTAGTGTTTCCGTATATGACAATTGTATATGACTCCCTTGGGTGAAAGTTGAAATAGCTTTGAACAAAATTACATTCATTTGATCTTGGTACTCCAGTATAAGTGTAGTTTTGTCATTAAGCAAATCACTGTTCCTCAACTTCAGTTGTCATGTTGTGACTTAATTGTCAAGTAAAGAAAAAGAAGACTGATCAGTATTCAATTTTGGACAAGGCATCCAAAAGATTTCTTTTGTTATCAGCACTTCCTTACTTGAATCAATCTCCAGATACAGAAATCTTGGACGGTTTACAAGACTGTGACATTTTACACACCATCCACAATTTCTATACCTCAGCTTTGTAAAGTTGTACGCTAATGTTACAAATGCGTAATGAAAACTTGTTTTTTGTTCTTTTCAACAATATAAGCAAATATGGCATTCAGTTCAGCAGTGGTAAAGAATAAAGTGATAAAAGCCTAGCTTCATGAAATGTTGCTACAAGAAACAAAGTTTGTGAACAACTTCTGTCACAATTACAGTCCTGATTATTTTTAAAGCTTGCTTTATCATAGAACCAGATAAGGTAGGTTTATTAATTCATTTTGCACTTGACTGTATCAAATTTCGTTTCACCAACAAGGCAACTATGTTAGTTCATGTTTGCATGCGGTCTTATCAGCCTAAGTAACTGCTTGAAAGGGCAAAGAAAGTCATCAAAATGAAACGTAAAAATATATATATATTAATGGGTTGAAAACTTATGATATACATTAAATGAAACCTTCTGATTAAAAATGTAAAAAATTAGGCTTTCTTATAATTTTGATAATTATTTTCATTGTATGCCAGTGATTGTAAGCACAGAGCGTGTGGTTTTTTTTCAAATCAAAACAAAGATAAAATTTACAGTTTTATAAACTAAAAACTTTATAAGAAAGTCTTAGAAGAATGTAGGAAGACAAAAATCAGTAATTAAAATCTACAACAAAGGTAAGCATTTCTAATTACATCTTTCAAAAACATAACACAAATCTTTTTGAATTTTCAAAGCTGGGAATTAATACAAACACCACATATAAAAATATGATTTTTATTTGCAAAGCTACAAAATTTGTAGAAGGTTCTTCTGAAGTTTCAAACTATTTTATCCAGTAGTTTTCGTTTGTCTTGCAATGCAGTAAAACAAACCATACAACAGTTGCATCTAACCAACACAACCTAGAGCATTTGATAGTTAAACTATAAAGAAGTTAGATTAACTCTCTTAAAAATATAATCTTGCAGTATGTTTGACAACAGTTTGTACTACAAAACCAAAGAAGTTGTAAAAAGTTCACAAAGTCTGGAGTGTGTTTTATGAGAATCTTGGTATAAAAGATTCCAAGATATATTATTTTTTTTTAAATTTCACTTGTTAGATTATCAGAAGTACATTATGCTACATAAAACCATTTTGAGGTTTTAGTAAAAATAACAGAAAGAAATCAAACAACTTACCTCAGGTGAATCAAATGGATACTTAGGACTAAATTTAAACATCAACTGGAATTTTTCTCCTTCATACAAGGTTCCCGTAGCTCCTTCCATATCAACTATCCACCTGTTGACATGAAAAGAGAATATCCAGTTGAATTAAATTAAACCCAAATTTGTCAAGAACAAAAGCTGCAATTTTGGTTACAATCTCCAAAAAATGATCACCATTATTTAATTATAAATGTGAAATTTGGATAACAGCAACTAATCAGAAATGGTCAAGAAAAGAGGGTGCATTTTCTAAACACGTCTTTGAACTGCAATCCCTCGATAATGGTACAAAACTGAACAACTGGGTATACAGTCCTTGTTTTAAGTTAATTAAAATAAAAGATAATGAAATTTTCTAAACTTTTAAAACATAATTTAGTCTGCACTACAAAATAAAAATTAAACTATTATACCAAGTTGTAAATAGACAAAAGCCTCTGATGTTTTTTTAGGTGGAGTTTTTGTACAAATCTTTGTTTCATGTGGCAAACAATCAAGTTTTTTATATTAAAAAAGAGAAAACTAATTTGAATTTTGTGGTTAAACCTTTTTTTTTTTTTTGTTAAATTAATGCATCAGTTCTACCCATATAACCTAGTGTGATTTCAGGCAACGGTGACACAATATGTACCAGTGAGTTAAAATGAAAAAAAGGCTGAACAAAAACTTACGAAGTGGACATAATGAAAGCTTAATGCTTAAAGTAATAACTAAAATAATTAAACTTTATATGTATTGTACATGTGAACTACTCTACATTCATCACTAAACTTAGGTCCGACTACAGAAGCAACAGTAAACTTATCTTATCTTCACACTACAAATAACACTATTCAATGTACATACTGGCTCACAGCCCCCCTAAACTTTCATGGGCCAATAAAATACAAATAATTGCAAAAACAATTTCATTTATATATGAATATTCTGTCTGCTTTTATTTGTTTTCATGAAATCCCACGGACTGGCAAGGCAATCTTGATGGACCAGTGATTGAAAAACACTGCACAAGCCTATAAGGACTGATTTTTATAGTGATCAGCCACAAACTGTTAGGAAGGCCTAACTGCTGTAAAACTTTTTCATGGTTGGTCATAATGTCAACTTTTCTATAATTCTACAATTTTAAACAACAACAACTGTTTATAAACACAGGAAGCAACATTATGGTAACATGCCACTCACTGAGTTAAGTTAGGCCCTATGTTGTTTGGACAAACACTGACACCTGGTGGTGGTTCCTTCTGTATGGCTAAAAGTTCTTTTTGAAGTCTCTTCTGATAGAAAGAAAAACAAAATTAAACCAAGTTTTAAAAAGTACTTCAAATAACACAACGAACAATTCACCAGAAAACTGCCAAGACTCTAAAGAGTATTTTTAAATCATAAATATATATATATATATATATTTGATATATTTTTAAGCTTCTTATAACTGATTTGAACTGGAAATTTTGTTTTGGCTTGTTCTGAGCTAGAAACAATCTTCAAGTATTAATTTTGTTTGCTTTCTAAAATAAGCCAAATTTTGTATGTAAAAAATATAAGATCATGAAGAAAAGGACACAAACACTGTAACACCATCTATTCTACACACAATAGACTATTCAATCCAAACAGCAACCCCACACCATGTCATTGGACAAACAATTTCACGTTATCACTCTAAATAAAAAAACAATTTCGTTAAAGTACAGTTCTACAAGTAAATCATATTTTGGTGAAACTTATCATAAGATTAAGATATGTTAAGTAATGAATTAGTTCCAAAAATCTTTCAGCACAATCTTTCAACTCCTGATTGAAAGGCAACTGATATGTTATAGATTTTTTTTAAATAAGGAAGTTTAGCACGACTGGATTATTGACTTGAGGAGTCCAGAGTAAATTTTGTTGAGGTCCCTTGACCTGAATTGTGTTAAACTCGTGTGTTCTATAACTAATTATGATTTGAATATTCTAATGTAAAACTAATCAAATTAAAAACAATTTGTAAAAGAGAATAATACAAAAAGTAGTTTCAAGTAAACAAAATAACAATTCAGTAAAACCTTTACGTTCCTGGTTATATTATTTTGGTTAATGAGGAGTTAAAAAGACAATGTCATCACTTCAAGTAACTATTTATGAATACAACTAATTTTCAGAATCAGCCATTAACACGGATCAAAGAGCTAATTAAAATTTTATGTTTGATATTTTTTAGCTGCCACATCATCTTTACATGAAAATAATTGACAGAAATTTCCTTATCTTACAATAAAGTTTTAATACAAAGTTTACGAAGTTCAACACAAACAACCAGCACAAAAACTCCTCAAAAAATACCCTACAAATTATATTTTGATTTATGAAACAAGCTTCATTTCAAGCTGTGAGTATATTATATATAAAATACTAAAATAATAACAATGAATTTTCATAATAAATATTCAACAATGACATTTTTTTTTAAAGGCTAAGCAAATATTTATGAAAGAACAGACAAAGAAGCACTTGACATCACTTTAGCAGTCAGTATAGAGTGAACAAAGGCCTGGTGTTCAACCCTAGACAGCATGGAAATGACCATCTATGTGTAATTCACAGTGAGGAAACTAACTGCCATAAAATTTGCAAATAAAAACAAAAATATTTCCCATACAGTTGGTTTTATTTTGTAAATATTTCAACCAAGCATTGTGCTGAGAAATCTCATGCAAGCAAAAAAAAAAAAATAACACATCTTAATACTAGTGCCAAATCGAACAATGATGACTGAACAACCAGTATAGAGGGAGCCAGGAGACAGTGTCATAATCCTATTGGTGGAGGATTGTTACACCCTCATTTACATGTAACAATATCACATGGAAACACAAGATTAGATGGAAGCCTCAATGTTAGTGGAGAGAGAAAAAGTTTGCACATAGAGGGCAGCACTATAGAGGGCAGGAAATGCTAGATATGAGTGTATGTTATGTATCATATTGGAAGCCATACTGGTTTTGCAAACTCCAATTGAGCTGCATGGCATACCCAGGCTAAGTATTACAAAATGGAGACAGTGAGACTGCAGCTTCAACTCATTTGATTGTTTATCAAGGCATTTAAAACATGGACAAGCTAGCTAGACTCGTACCAACTGATCTCTTCAGTGCGGTTTTGCTGGCAACATTGTTAGAAATACTGTACCCAAGTGATTGCTCTTTGAAGGTAATAAAATGAAAATCATATAAATTTCAGAGGTGTTTTCTCACATTCCTCATGACTTATCCATGATCAACAAATAAATGTGAGGCTTCTAATTCTTTATCAACTTTCAGTGTTTAAACCATAAAGTTCAGTGATAAAAATGTTAGTACTTTAACAGAATTTATAAAAAAAAACTTACCCAATAAACGATTGATACACACATGGAAGATCAAAAACTAAACAAACCACAAATAAACAGTAATTTTTTTTGTTTGTTTATTGTTAAATACAAAGCTACACAATTGGCTGTCTGTGCTCTGCCCACCAGGGATACTAAAACTGAATTTTTAGCATCATAAGCCCTCCGACTTACCCTTGAGCCACCAGTGAGCGCTATTAAAGAAAACAAACTAACTGAAATCCAACAAACCAAAAAACTTCACACACAAGAAAATTAATACTCCTAAAACACATAGTGATAACAATTAGGCAATATCAAGGCTATTAAAATGACAAACACAAAACAACTGAAAATAGTGAGCATTAGCTCAAGATCAACAAAGGAATTACATCAGGCAATAAACAAGACACATATAACAAAGATATAAAAACAAGTAAAATACAGCATGATCTCAAGCCACTAAAATATAAACAAAAAGGAAACTTAATGTAACAATAACAAATAAAGGGACTAAAAAACAAAACATACAGAGGTCTTGCCAGTAATTTTGACAAAAAATAAAACTGTTTAACATATGTCAAAATAAGTACACATGAAGTTAATCTAATGGCAAGCAAATACTTCTACGAAGGTTGTGAAGATGCAAGAATTATCTTATACGGATAGGTAAAGATATCTTTATTTTTTATTGATAAAAGAAGGGTAAGAAGTGATCCTTTTTGAGGTTTACAAGATTATTTGTGGAGATATATTGGATATGACATCTACTGGCTTTGTGCTGTATTCTGGAGACAGAACAAGAAGATACAAGTCTAGGATTTCAAAAACACTAGCTAATATCCAGTTAAGATAGTTCTATTATTGTAACAGACTTATGGAAGGTGTTGCAGTAACCAGTAGTGGAAGCCAGCAACTTAAGAATCAATATTTTCCTGAAAAACAAAGGTGTTTAAGTTTTACTTTTCTAGGAGATGGGCAGGCAGCCAGATTTAATACAATTTATAAGCTATATTTTCAATGTTTTAAATTAGATGTTAGCTAGAGAATACATGAAGTTAATACCTAGTAAATTCACTAAGGTTTAGACATTACTTATAAATACGAGTAAGCAGTGCCAATGAAAATGATATTACATCTGTTCTGTTATTCAGTTACTTGGCAAGTTATATATTTGTTTATCAAGCTAAGTTAGTTATCTTAGGCATATGTCTCACAGTTTATACTGAAATATTGTGCCTTTAGGCCTACTACTTGTGTCGAAGTGAACATAGCCTGTAGAAACTTTATAAAAGAAATAAAATAATTTAGGATTACACGGACTGGACTTCACATTATTCACATGGTAGAACAAGTTACATCAATAGCAGACAACAAGGAACCATTTGGCTCTTTAAGGTTGTCTTTACACACATGTTCTTGAAAAAAAAAATGTATTAATTCAAAATCCTTTATTTTTCAGGAAATCAACGCCCATCTTAAAGTCCTACAGTACAGGCTTCCACCTCCACAAATGATTATAAAAATAAAACTACCTCAAATGGAAATATACCAGACCTTTCCAAATCTTAAATGTATGACTTTTTATCCTCTTGTTCTCAGAATTAAACACGAAAAACTTGGACGTGTCATTCTAATCAATTTCTAGATAACGTTTAACTACTTTTATTAATACTAAGACATCATATTGATCAATAAATTATTTAGAAATTACCTATCTGCCACAATTTAAAAATTTTCATGTGTCGTCATTTCAACATTTTACCAGTAATACCAATAGAATTATTATTGTAAAATGTCCGACATTTTATTAAGAGGTTACGCTACACATTACTTAAGCGAATAAGCCAAACAACAAATGTTCATTAAAAAAATGAAGACGCTAACACTAACAGTAACGAGTATTAAAATGATATTGATAAGAGCATTTTATTGGTGCGAGAAGTAACAAATTTAATATAAATATAATAAATAATAGTCGTGCATCAAAATATTTAATTTATGTTTGTTAATGTTAATTCAATAATTGTTGCCTCACAGTAAGATAGCAACAAGCATTTTAATGTCACTGTCAGCTTTTAAATTTTAAAGTGAATAACCTTAGGCCTAATATCGACGTTAGTGGTTTTGTTTCCTATAAAAATTTAAATCCCACCTGCATCGACGCCATGATAGTCTGTACCTTTGCAGTTTGTTCGATTTTCTTCTCACTCTCAGTTACACTTACAAGTTACAGTGCATAAGGTTTACGTTAGGTGCCAGTTTTATCTTAGATTTAAAAATTAATCATATAACTTTATGATGTTTATTCTAAAATAATCAGAAAAAAAATTATCGTCAGAGAATAGTTGGTGTTATTATTATTGTCAACAATCAGTACACATCATACTCTTCAGCTCCTAAACAAGGAGTTTGCGTTCGAACAAGACAACCATGTTTCCTAACGCCCACTCGGAAGTTTTCGGTAGTCATCGACGTTTGCTCGAGACTCGTGAAGAATGGAAATATCTGCGCGAAATCGATAGGGATCATAATCTGATTATTAGTGAATATGGCAATAAGCTGTTTTGTAGTCGTAAACGTTGAGTATATGGTGCAGCTTTTGCTATAATGCCCGAAATTTAACTGATAATGCGTTTTCGAATTCGATGACGAGGAACCCACTTTGAGACTAATAATGGCTGGAGACGGCTTAAATGGGTAATGAAGAAAAACTTTAATATAAGTTTAACATGACAGCAAATGTACAAGGTGTCCGCAACGGCAGGTAGTCAACAAGACCTTGGCGGAACGTTGTGATTATGCT